TTTCTGACATGCAGTTAATCAGGCTGGGACCCCCCAGCTCTGCCCCAACCAGCCGTCACCTTGGGCTGATGCTGGCCTCCCCCAGTGTCCTCAGCTGACAAGTCAGGCTCTTTCACTCACTCTGGATGATGGCGATGTTTTTATCCTCAGCCTGTGCTGCCGCTTGCCTCAAGGCATCAGATGGGTGTCCCAATTTTTCTGCTCGTGAAAGCTGGGAAGAAGTGCCCGAGGGCTTCTGCGCCCTGCTCCCTTTGGGGCTGCCACCAAACTGCTGGAGCACGCAACTGCATGCTGCATGGTGGGTGTACAGGTCTCAAGGGGCTCCAGCGCAGGTTCTAGGAGTCCCATGTGCAGCCAGAGCTCAGCACAGGAACTCAGCACAACCAGAGCTCAGCACAGCTGTTCCTTGCTAAGCCCCTGGCTCAGCTGGCCTGGGCAGCATCCTGTGCTGCTGAGCCTCTGGCTAAGCTTAGGCTGGCTTGCTCCCACACTCCTGCCATAGCTCAGGTCTGCCCAACAAGGCACAGAACTCAAAGATGCACCTGGATCCCACCTCTCCCCTGTTTCCCAGCTCAGCTTTTCCTCCTCCAGAGGTGCTCCATCAATCCCCATTTAATCCCTTTTTGTACCCACACAGAGGTTAGCCTTGCCAGTGGCCTGTGGCAGGGGCTTCCACATCTTAAGATACACTTCACATGAAGAAATGTCTCCTTTTGGGTCTTGCACCTGAGTATTTCATCAAATGCCTCCTTGGGTTTTTAAGAAAACACACACATGTGGTCACCTACTCCATGGCATTTAGGCTTTATAGATCTCTGTCGCAGACCTCAGCCATCTCTTTTCTGGATGAAGAGTCCTAGTCTATCGAGCCAGCCCTTGCACGGGAAGCGTTTGGAAGTACTCTGCTTTGCCTGAATCAAAACCCCAGCTCTGCCAGCCCCAGCTGAGATCAGAAGGCAGCAGGAACATGCTGAGACCTAGGCAGCTCCGCAGGGAGGCATCGAGAGTTGCAGAGCAGCTCTGCCACATCTCCCTCTCCCTTGACACCTGCTTTCTCTCTGAAGGCTGCCCTCAGTAACCCAGCCTTTGCACCAGGGACTAGCGCGGAGCAAGCAGAATGCTCCACTGCATGCAGTTGGTATAACTGTACAGATGCCAAACATCTAAAGAATCGGTGCAAAATGAACTCAATCAGACAAAGACATCACATTTGCCTAACCAAGGTATGTTGTAAATTAAGGGGTTTGGCACACTTAAAGACTAATGATACAAACACACATTTTCGAGGGACATCAGGGTAAGGGTCAAAACTGAGACCCAGCTGTGTGTACACAGGCTTTACTTTGAAGCTTGACTAGCTAAGAAAAGCTCATTTCCAAACACTGAGGATACCCAAATGCTAATAAATTTTTAAAGTGCTTTTGCACAAACTTGTGTTTTTCAGTGAATCCTGAATTCCTAATGACATACAGACCCTTATGTCAGAGGTAATCAAGTATTATTACAAGAGCTGCTGGCTGTGGGGCCCCTCTTGAGCACACACATGGGTACATATGGAAGTTATTAGCAAGTTTTAGCGAAGGATTTTGGGAAATTAACCCCTGGGGCCCCAGAGCACAGCTAACAGACAGCTAGTTGGGACCAGACAAAGAGCAGTTTCCTGCTGGATGCCTGTGGCACGTTGGGACTGAAATCCAGGCCCTTTGCAGCACGATAGAGGAAGCCCCTCTCACAATGACTAAACTTTTCAACTTCTGCTGTTAAGAAGAAGGGTTGAAAAAAACCATCTGCAAGGCTGTGTAAGTTTCCTCAGCAAACTGAAATGAGTCAGCTGGAGAAATGTATAACATAACTTATAAAAATGCAAACAATTTTCTTCTATTCCCCGAATGGCGCTCAGGAGGTTATGAGGAAGTTTGCAATTTCTTTGTAAGTCCCTTTAGGAGCCACCAAAAGAAACATTTGGACACAGACCACCAGGAGCTGCTCCTACGTGGCAGAGGAACCAGTTCAGAGGCAGAGTGATTAAAGTGAACATCTCCCACTCATTAATGAAAGCAGCAGGATAGTGCTTGAAGTCACCCTGTGGAAGTAAATTCTTAGTTTTGCTTTGCACATCTTTTTTTTTTCACAAGAGCTTAAAGAAAAAGGTTTCTCTTCCAACATCCAAGCAGAAAATGAAGGACTCTAACGTTTGCCTCAGCCAATGCACTTTTCACTTTTCTGTTCTTCCCAAACTGATTTCCTTTCTTGCACCAATCCTGATCTGCAAAGTGACCTCTCCTTGGGAATAATGAGGATACTTAGACATAATGTGCCTTAAGCTTCCACAATATAACAATGCTTGGCAGTAATTCACTGCTTTTCATCCACAGATCTCAAATCAATTCGCTGCAGCCCTGCATGCAATTGACTCACTTGTAAGACTGAGACAAGCGCTTGCTGTGCAATTAAAAAAAAAAAAAAGGCACAAAATAAAGTAGACTTTATTAAAATCCAAACTATTTCCTTCTCCCATGGTGCGATTTTCCTAAAGTGCAATCCAGGCAGCAAATAGGGCTCTTCTGCAGCCCCCAGCCATACTACCCAAGATGCTCATTTGCAGCCAAATGAGAACAGTTCACAGCCAGGTCAGAGCAATCCAGTTGGAAAGCTCTTCCCTCGGTGAGGTATAACCATGGCCAGAAAACAGCAGCATTCCTGTACTCGGTTCTAAACATGGAAGAAATTAGCCTGCTCCTTCCCCCCTCCCTGCTTTCTGAATGGAAGGCAGGAAGGCAGCCAAGGGACCTCAGCAAAGAAACCCCCAAGAAAGAAAAGGATGGAGGGGATAGGCATGATGCCTGGGGCAGCAGATCCAGTCCCACTCCTCCACAGCAGGCAGAGAGGGAGGTCAGCTCTGTGGCTGACCCTCCCGAGGCAGAGGCTTCAACCAAGAGCCAGGGGGGAATGGTCCCAGAGGTGCCCAGAGCCACCTGAGATGCTGACAGCAATCAACAGTATGCCCGCGTGTCAGCCACCACAGGGCATGCAAACCCTGCAGTAGTGAACGATACCAGCCAGTGCTTTTGCACTGGGCTGAAAGACACAGCAGCTGCAGGGCCACCGAGCTGCCCCTGGCCTCCCTGAGGCTGAGAGGAGCAGGCAGCACAGAGAAGATTGCCACTTCCCTAGCACTTATTTAACTACCTTGGTTCATAAGTCTATGCCCTGAGACAGGAGGCCAGGCATCTCGCCACCAGTGGAGAGACAGAGCCCTCCAGAGAATAATTCAGTGTCTAAGTTAGGCGGCTGTGATGAATCACAGCCTGTATCTCTCTCTCTGTGCTGACCACACGCTTTAGTTCCTCAGATAAGATACCTGAAGACAAAAGAGCAAATTCAGTGTAATCTCTCCCCATGTTCACTTTTTTCTCCTATACAGGTCTGAAGAGGAAAGTCAGCATGAGCTCAGCAGGCTGCCTGCCTCAGCTATAGATGCTTGGCAGCATGCAAAACAGTTTGGCTCAAATTTTACAGCATCTGAATTTCTCCTTTCATGTAGCTGTTTTCAGTCACTTACTTAGAAGACATACCTGCCCATATCCCTGAAATGAACCATGACGTTATTTAAGCCAACTCTGTTCCTCTCATTTGTACGCATCCTCATCAGCTCAAGTTCACTGATGCTGTGCCTTGTTCCAGGATCTTGAATTACTCACAGGTCTTTCAAACACTCAGTACAAATTTTAAGGTACTAAAAATACTTTCTAAAAATGCAGGGGTGAGATTTTCAGAAGTATTCTCTGTTTCGAAAATTCTTCAGTTAATTACACTATAAGATTAATTAAGTTCAGTGTTCCCAGCTATGACCACTCATTTACGTGCTGCTTTTGGTCTTTATAAGAAATTCACTTGTTCAGTTTCTGCCTGACTGCCATGCCTTGGCACTAAACTAACTGGTTTTTCAGCACTGCAAGGGAATGAAGATATCTCCATGCATTCACTGACTTTTAAAAATCAATATAAAACCATGTTTATTAAAATTTTAGAAGTTTTATATAAAAAAATCTTTGCCTTTTTGGAGGCAAAACCAAAACATCTTCTGATGCTCAATAGATGGCAGCAGCTCACTATCACATGAGCATAAGAAAGGGCACTGGATCCCATCTCTTCACACCCTCCCAGGGTAGACACAACTCTCCAGATTAGGGTTACCTCTGCAGGAATGCCATGCCCTTGGTATAGCGTAACCCATCTGCACTCACAAAAATCCGATTAAATAAAGCAATGCAAAAGCCAGTGAAGCTGCCTGCATCATACATGGCTGCAATGGTTTCACTCTGGTGCAAACGTTGGCCTCTGAAGTAACTGGCATCGCATTTGTGCTGCAAGGAGTGAAACGTGCTCTCACTCTGCCCCAGCTACGTGGGGATCCAGTCAGCACGGGGGTCATCCCCACCAATGTCCAAGCTGCACTGCTGCGGGACTGGACTCAGCTGCACCACTTCACAAGGGCAGGTTTGAAGCAGAAATGAGCTCAAGCACTTGGGGTAGAAGAAAACACAGGGCTGACCTGGGAGGACAGGCAAGTCATCTTCTTAAGCTTTTAAGTTATAAATGGAGCCAAGAGCAGGACTTGGTCGTGGTGGAAATCTCTGCTCTTCAGGCTTGGCTTTACCCCAGGCATCTCTGGGAAAAGTCACACACTGTGCACATACAAGGACACATCAGTCACAGCCAGCGGGTTCAAGCCGTGCTCCCCTCTGCCCTCGCCTTTCCTCTGCCAGCAGCCAGTCCAGCCCCACTGGCGTGGCACACATCCCACCAGCACAGCCACATAACAGGCATTTCCCTTTGTCTCCCACATGTACGGCATCATCTCCCAGCCCAGGACAGAGAAGGGCTGGGGACAACACTCCCCTCTGACCCTCCCCTTCTGTGCAGGGGTGAAACCACCTCCTCCCTCAGACACATCCCCAAGGAGCCCCCCAGCCCTGCTCTGTCCCCTGTCATGGCACCAGCGGGGAGGCTTCGGTAGCACAGTTCTCGCAGGGTGGGCACTGTCCGGCGGCTCCGGCACAGGGGCTCAGAGAAGACCAGGGGGGTTCCCCCCATCTCATCAAAGTGTAAGGGGTTGTTCCGGGTCCCTGCCACCACCAGCTCCAGCAGCTGGACCACACAGTCTGAAAACCAGTTCTTCAGGCGGAAATAGCCCTCCTGGAAAGAGATTCGGAGGCTGACAGGCCCCGTTGGCATCCGCACACTCAGGCTGAACAAGCAGTTCCCCTGTGAGCTGTCCCGCACCAAGTAGGTGCCTACAGGCTCCCTCTGGAGTTTGGCGTGGGCCTCCCCCACAGACAAGGGGCCCCAGTAAAAGTCACTGGCCTGGAGGATATTGAGGGATCGCTCCAGGACCTCCCATTCGCAGCTGCGAAACATCCGGAAACGATCGGGCAAGCCGGGTGGTGCAGGGCTGGGGAGAACGCTCCGATGCTGCCTTTGTAGATGAGAAACAGTGGTGTGCGTGTTGTGCAGATCATCTGGCCTCCCTCTGATCATCTCTCAAAGAGCCCATGGATCCTGGAAAGATGCTGCCTTTACCATTCTTCCTCCTTGGCATCCAGCCTGCGGGACAGAAGCAGAGTGAGGCAAACCCAGTACCTTCTTCTACCTGGGCAAGTGAAGACACTTCACAAGGGAGAAAGACCAGCAAGAGTACTAAAGAGGGTACCAAGGAACTACTGTATGTCACCAATCCCCAGCTGTAGGGACACCAGGGATATATGTGCAGGAAGGGCTCCAGCTGGGTCCCATCAGCAAAAGGTGGCACCTTACAGAGCTCTGCATCCACTGGTTTCTGTGATTTACAGCCAGGAGCTCCTGCACACCCTTTCAGAAGGCTGGTTTGAACCTAGATGATCTTGTAATTTCAAGATTTCCCCTGTTGGATGCTTTGGGGTTTTTCAGTGGCCTTGAGACAGGAAAAGGGAAATGACACCCCAAATCAGAAGGGAAAAATTTTGCAAAGCAGTATCATTTACTTTGTCGTTCAAGGAAAGGTAGAAAGGTTTCTCTGCACCGCTCTAATGCTTTCTCCAGTAAAAGGACTTAGAAGAAACAGAAGATGGGAATGAGTCTTTCCCACCAAACCCCATGAACTACTCCCTCATCCCGTGATATGCCTGTTTCACTCTCTTAGGAGAAAGCAAAGGCCTCAGATCAAGACCCCTTCAAGAAATGTTACAACATCAACTTCAGGGCTCGGACTGCCACAAATGAGCCCACTTAACACTGGTCCCAGACACTATTGATGCCCTTCCAGCCCCTTAACTTCTCTTTCTTCCAGAAGGACATCTCCCCCTGCCCGCAGACAATGCTGCCCTCTCCCAGTCACCATCCTCTGCTCATGTACTGTCACGACCCTGCTCATCTCCTGCACCTTGTGTTATCACCAGGCTGTCTGTTTTCAGAAATGCAAATTTCCGAACCCAGTGTTGCCATCAGCCATCCAAGTCATTTCAATTATATATAAAAAAAGTACATATTCTGAATGTGTGTGTGTGCACAAACATAAAAACCACAGCCCTAAGCCAGAGGCTCATTCTGTGCGAGAAGCTGAGCTGTAACATACCACTTCCCCAGACCTGACAAGTCAGTAGCTCGCCACCAAATCCTGCCCTCGGTCCCTTGACGTACTCCATTAAACCAGTCATACCCGCTCACAGCATAGCCATGCTTGGAGCAGGACAGACTGCTGACACACAGCCTGCAGCGGAGGGAGAGACACACTTCATCTCCAGCAGTCCCTCCCCACAGCAGACTTGCGGGAGCCCTGGGGCTCATAGCAGGCAGGCAGCCCCCAGGGACTATGCAGGGACTTGTGGAGAGCTTGCTCTGGAGGGAGAGCTTTGTGTTAAGCTTAGCTCCTTGCAAGATTCTGCTGTCACACACTTTGCCAGCTATTCAAAAGCCTCTCATTCTGTTTGGTGCTTGCACCAACTGGATGGCCGTGCAGAGCCCACTTTGCACCTGGGGAGAGGACACAGAGCAGCAGGGCCAAACATCTGTCCTTCACATGGGCACAGTAGTTTTGGAAAGGGAGCATGTGCCTGCCAATGCCTTGCCTACAGTCATCTTTTCTCAACTAACATCCGTCTCAATACTCAACAGTAATACCGATAATTTAGCAGCCAGGCACATGGCATTCCATACATGGGAGCTATAAACACCCTTTCCAAGAGCAGCCTGGGAAGCTTCTCCAGTTTCTAGCCCTGTGATTTGCAGTCCACAAGCCGCTAATGTTCCTGGTACTGCTCTGAATGCTGTTGATCCTGTCCTTTAGCTACATGTCACAGGAGGAGGGAAATTCCACACTTAGAGAAAGGTGGGAGGGGTAGGAAGGAGTTAATCAACTTGGGTTTTTTCTTTTCCATTAAAGAAAAAAAGGCAGCAGTTAAAAGCTGCTCAAGCTGTTCAGCAAGTCAGAATAAATCTTAGGGGAAAGTGATTTAGTGAGCAGAATGCAAGTAAACACAGTCACCACGTGCAGCAACTAGGGCCATCTATCACCACTGAAAACTGAGCAGTAGGTGCCATAAGAAGTTGCATTATCTCTGTCCCTTTTCTTCTCCTCTCCACTGGCACCGAAGCTGCCCACTGACGTTAGCTCCTATAGAAAAAGGTCATCTGCCAGATGCCTCCAGGGCTGCGGATATAGCATCGAGAGGACTGAAAAGGAGCCTTCCTAAATAGCAGCTTCTCTTGGGTCCAAACAGAAATTTTGCCACTTTCACGGGTCGAGGATGAAAAATTAATTCAAGCAAGTAAACAGAAGCAGGCAGTTGTCTTTCATTTCCAGGCTAGTTTTAAATGTAACAACAAATATATAATTTGTTTAAGGCTGCAGATGCTATTTGACAGGAAAAAAAATACCAAACTAGTTTGTCCCAGTTTTCAACCTTGAGTCATTCACCCAAGTCCTTTAAGAAAAATCCACTGCTACTAGAAATCTCACTGACTAAGAACTGAGACTGTGTCATCATTTCGAATTCAAAGTAAATGCAAAAATAGCACCTTGACAATTTGTTCATTCGGTTTGAAATCTACATATGGGTCAGAGCCTCAGATGGGGGGAATTTGTTTAGCTTCAGTGACCCATTTCCAAGAGAGAACTGCCTGGCCTGCAGTGCAGCATTAGTTATGCTAATATTAGCTCTAGAAGTGCTTCCTGATACTACCTCTAAGGTTCAGTTTTAATGGGTCAACAGGTCCTACATGTACATGGCCTCCCACATCAACGAGGATGTGCAGACTCAGGATTAGGAATAAGTGAACCCAGGAGCGTGGGGTGTAATGAAACACACATGCATATTTAGTTCTGCTTCTGTTTTGCCACACCACAATTTGCTTTCCCTCTTCTCCCCTCCAAAAAAAAGCCAAAAAAACCCCCCCAACGCTCAAACAAGTTACTACCTCCCTAACGCAAGTCACAACAGTGCTTGAAGCCAAAGCAATGTAACCTAAAAAGTTGGTGTCCCGCTAATTAAAAGGCTGGATAAATTTCCCCAGAGCTTCTGATTTACTGCAAGTTCAAGAGCTTTTCAAAATAAGTGCTCTTAACACAGGGCATTCTGTTTTCCTCCTCACTGACGACCCAGGCAAGGCAGCGTATTTCATATAAGGAGACAGTTCTAGTAAACCAGGGGACTGTACACGGCATCTGGTGTCAGCCAAGCCAGCCCTGCACCCTGGAGCTTGACAAATCTGCCATGTTCAGCAGCAGCCTCAAGTACTCAGCTATGATGCGTTCTATGATGCTCTCTTTTTCCAGGACACTTGAAAAAGCTTACCTCTTTGTCTTTACTGCCCATAGGGATGAGTTTCTGGATGTCAGGCCTGGAAGTGGTCCAAATTCAAAAGCTCCGATGCAGCACTTCCCAGTTTTTGCACAGCTTTACTTAAGAGCAGATCTGTCCTTTGAAAAGAAAGAGAAGTCCATCAAGCAGGTGACTAAGCCCATTAGTTTGCCATAATGTGGATCTAAAATACAACAAATCTGGGGACAGGTTGTCTGTCTCAATGTCTTTGATCTGTATTACTGTAGAAGCATGTATATAGCACTTTGGATAGCAACAGAGAAAGTGGATTATTTCTGCTGTTATTATTATTGCTACTTACAAAGCCATGAGCTGGTTAGGTCCAGGCAGCTCACAGATGGCTTAAGGACAAATGGAAAGACCATAAAGGTGCTATCATCTTCTGGAAGCAGGAACCGTAAAACCCCAAATGTTAAGAGATGATGGCAACAGGAACAAGCTTAAGGATTCAGGACAGCAAACTCCAGCTTGTGCTCAATACAACACACAACATTTATAGTATCTTATTTGACACCACACAGCCATTCAAGTGACCCACTTCATTCTGACCCACACTTACCCGCCCTGCTCTCAATACTTTTCTTTCCATCTCACTGATGGAAAACTAAACCCACTGACCTGGTGGAGCAGCAGACCACCACATGTGCAATTGTTTGTCTGTCACTGGATCCATCAGCAAGCTGAAAAAACAATCCCAGCTTTCTGCATGCCTTTCAGAGGCAGTCACTGCACTGCTTCACTTGTACACACATAACCTCACTTCTCTGCATCCTCCCCAGCAGAGTCCAGACTGGGTACACACCCCACAAGCCATGTTGACTTGCAGAACTGCAGGTCTATCCCATTACTACGCACTATTAATTCCCATTTTTCAATTCCCATTACTACCCATTACCAATCCATTCAGCTTTGACATCTCCCAGATAGCAACCCTGCAGTTCCCAGAGCAGTTAGACGGAGGCTGGGATAATTTGGAAAAGCTCTCCCTGAGGTACCCTGCAAGCCCTTGCAGCAGTGTCCTCGTTCCAGGCAGCAGAGCCTGAGCAGACATCTCTGCTTGCACGTCTGCATCCCACAGAAATGCGCTGCCTACTGATTTGTGGCTGGGGAGGATGTTTCAAAGGAAAGCCTGAGCAAAAGGCTGGAAGAAACCTCCCTGGTAAGAGCCAAGCACGCAGCGCTGGGTTTTAATGGTGGGCCAGCCTGGTTCCCATCGCCACCACCGCCTGCCACACATTGGCACTGGTTTGAACCATGCCACCATCACTGCCACGGTGCATGGTCACACCAATGCCCCTTGTCATGAGCACCCTACCACAGCCAAGGTGACCATAAAGGGATCATGGAGAGGGGAGGGAAAGGAGATGCACTGACACACATGCCAAAGAGCACAGAGGGAGCTGTGGTTAGGGGAGGAATGTGGGCCAGCTCAGCTAAGAGGACCAATGTTAATCACAGCCAATTTCTCCAGCACAAAGCAGGCCTCAGAGACATTGCAGTTCCCTCTATCTTTTATGCCCTGGCTATAAATAATTTGATGTGAGCTTGCCATTATGTCTGACACATGAGGGAATACATGGAAAAAAGAAAACAACCCACACCACACATACATACCCCAAACTAAAACTGCATTTCCCTACACAAGCAACATTCAAGAATGCAACATTTAATAAAATAAAATAAGCTGAGGCAGCACACACACTGTGACAGTTCCTACTTCCATGCAGTAGAGACACAGAGCAGAAAGATCCTGCTTGCAGTCTCCAGAAATCACCTTGCAAGAGGACTGGTCTTATCAAACACTTCCCAACATTTTGGGGTTGGAGAACATACTTCAAAACCCACAAATAACTTCCCATGGATCTGATATTTATGTTTTGTATTTCTTACCATATTTTTCTATGATGTGTGTTTTCTGAATTAATGTGGCACTTTGTTGATATGGGCTAAAGGGATTTCACCCAAGAAAACCAACAAGACAGTGTGATATGTGCCAAATATTCTTCAAGGCAGGGAAGTCTTCAAGCATGTTTGGTTTCCCCATAACATGCTTTTAAAAACCCAACAAAGTGGAAGTTTACAGGAAAAGCTAATTGCTTTACTGGGATAATTGAAAGAGTTGGAAGAAAGACACCCATTTTCAGGGTCCCCTCCTCACACCTTGGAAATATTGTGTACATTCAGAACTACTTCCAAATAAAAGAGCCTATTCCTCGTCAAAATAGCCCAATGTGAAACTGTAATCCTGCCATTTCAGAATAACACAGAAGCCACATCGTTTCCCTGAACTCAAAGGCTGCCAAGAACTACCAAAACTAGCATCTGACTTCTGGCAAAGACAGCTTCTGTTGGAGACTAAATTATTTCTGCCTTCCCCCGTAACTGGAGAAAAGAGAATTAAAAAAAAAGGTAAGAAAAAGGAAATCAGGAGGGGGTACTACCAAGTTCCAAAGCTGCAGCTGAGCCTATCCGGCCACAGCTTAAGCAAAGAGAGTTGTTGTTGCTTACCTCTGGCCAACAGCATTTTTGGTAAGTGAGGGAAGCCCAGTCGCATTGCTCCTGACCTTTGCAGTTTCACAGAGCAGCCATTCCTGCAAATGTTAGTGCTGCAGAGCTACACAAAACCTCAGCTCTGCGCTTGGCCAGGGAACACAGCCTCCCTGTTGCCTTCCCTCCCTCCCTCCGCACCACCCACACCTCTGGGAAGGTGGCTGGGGCTCTCCCCAGTTTGGGGGCTGAAACAAGGAGATGGGGAGAGGGCATGAGGAAGAATAAAGAAGCCAAGATAACAGCAGTCCCTCGTGACTCCCTACTTGAAATGCTCTGTCCCATCTTCCTGCTGAGAGGGGGATCAGTGGGAAGGGGGTAGCAATGGCTGGGCTGCATCCTTGCCCTCTGTTGGAGCAGAGCTCTGCATCTACCCATCATGGCTCCTCAGCCTTACCGCCTCCCCCGCACCATAGATACATATCCTCTGTTCCAGTCTCTTGGTTAAACTGACTTTTTTCAGTTGTTCCAGAACCCTGTTTGAGGAAATGAGAAAATCCTGAGAAGCAAAGGCCATCAGTGGTCCCTGCGATGGCCATGGCTTCTTATCAAAACAATCACATTTAGCCGGAAAGGAATTCAAAGCAGCAGCTAACTCTGAGAAACGAGCAGTGCCTGGCCTGCAGATAAAACTGGCTCAATATTCTGATCAGAACTATGATGTCAGAGAAGAGTCCCAGGTGCTTAACCAACACCAGCCAGAGCACAGGGAGACAGGGGAGAGATCCTGCCTTGGCTCTTCAGAAAGACCAGCTTCAGAAGATGCGAGGGGGACTATGCAGCACCAGCTACTGTGCCTTCAGAGGAAGGGGCGAGGGTCAGAAAGCACAAACACACCACAATACTAGGTTTTATAATGGGAGATTTCCAACACACAAAACAAAGAAACTAGTCCTGAGAGTTAAAAGTGAAAAGAATAAAAAAAAAGGCATGAGGGGTTATTTAGGAAATCTTAAAGTGGCAGAGCATGCAGACTTCCCACAAAGGATGACACAGAGACACTGCCTGGCTAAGAGGACAGGCTTGGGGGAGAAGAACAGGTCACACTGCAGGTACTAGCTGTAGGTGCAGCAGCTTGCAAGGGCATCCACCATGGGGCAGACACATCAAACACAGACACTACAAAACCCCAGTCCCTGTTCCAAATCTTCCTACAACCTTCTCTATAATCCTTCAGAAGATGAAAAGATAATCCTGGAGCACCAACATAAAGGAATATAAATTACTGACAACAGGGAACAAATTTATGTGAGGATGGCTGTCATGAAACTGGGATAGTAGGTGGCCGAGATAAACAAAACAAAACCCAGAAAACATATGGCATTTTCAGTTTATCGAAAACAGAAAACCTCTGGGGGAATCATTTAGTCGACTGGGATACCAGCAAGTGGGGACGGGGATACTGCAGAAAAGCTACACAAGTAAGTGGGCATTATCTTTTTTCTTGGAGAGGATGTTGAGGAGATTTCCTAGTATTTAATGTTGTTTAATGTGAAGGGAAAAAAGGGAGTGCTCTATCAGAATTGATGAGGAAAAGTGATATTAGAGTAGAAAGCCAGCTGGGCACCATGGACTATACCCAGGGATTTTGAATTGGAAATGGATGGTTGAGATGCAAAGTGAAGTGCTCAATCAAATCAGCTGCACTACCAATTGCCAGAGGGCTGCAAGTATTGGAAGGAACTTTTTTTGACATGTACTAAGACAGGAGCAGCACGAGGCTACATGGTGTGGGGGAGAGGCAATCCCCAGAGTTCCCCATCAGGCAGATGGTATCTGAAGAAGCAACAGATGACAGGAAACACTTTGTGCTTCCCCAAAGCCTCCATTCCAGAAACAACTCAAAAAGTGAGACATGGTACATGAGCTAAAGAGCCATCCCAGGACCTGTAAAGCAGATGGATAGAAGACACAGAGCAGTCATGCCACAGGGTGAATGGGAGGTGTAAAAGAGGTGTCTGGAGGAAACCAAGGCATTTCAGCCCCTGCACATCTGGTCACCTCACTGCCATCCTCCCAGTCACTGCATCTTCCCCCTGGATCAACTCAGCCCACTTCGTAGAGCATCCCTCCCCACTCCTCAACAGGTTGGTGGGTAGAGGCAGCCCAAAGCCTCCCCCAGCTCTGATGCAAGCAGTCCCTTCCCCCTGTCCACGCAAACTCACATGTTGACCCAGGTCCCCTTCTAGAACTGTCTCTCCCTGTCTTCAAGCTGTCATTACCCACAACACCTCAACCTCCTCAGGTCTAACCTTGCCCCGCAGCAGGATGTTACTTATATCTAGGGAGCCAGCTCAAAATGCAGTGAGCCCCCTCCATCACCTTCCCAGGGCGAACAGTAACAAAATCACTTCGCTCTCTACAGGCAAGAGAAGTCCAAGATCACTCAAAATTCATCAGCCTGGAAAGCACCAGGACCTTGGGCAAGACTCTGTCCTGACAAATGCAAACACACGCAGGCTTGTAGGAAAACCAACCGGGTCTGTATTTTCGAGAGTGATAAATTAAGTGGCGCAGCTGACCAATGAGCCGAGTAACAGCACTGAGGGTT